ACAATGAAAGTGTGATTAAATCAGAATTCTATTCCATCTGGTATGATTGAAATCAGAATTCTGTTTTTAATTTGTGCATGAGAATATGTGAATGTTAAATGCACTAGAACAGAGGTCAAACAGCAAGTTATGTGCTGAAGTGATGAGGAGTGGGCTGAGGTGCACTTACCTAATCAGAAAAGAGGACAAGAGAAGGATGGGAAGCTTGTATGCAGAGGAAATTAGGATTGTTGTTTCCCTCGCTGAGGTAAATTTTTATGGGTAAAAAAGGTGACATGCATGTTAAAGCCACAGATCTATGTGAAATGGCAGGAACCTTGCTCAGTTGTGGTAAACTGGTCAAACAAATTGTTCATTTAGTAGAGCAATGCAGGACATATATACTTATGTATAAATTATAAATATATAAAATGTAAACATGTACATTTTATGTAGTTCTGTATTACATATAAGTGTTTTACATATATGTTTTACAATAACTTGCTGGTCAAATAGCGTTTATACTGATACTGAGTTTCCTTTTTTTGACAAAAAATACTTTTAAAAATGACATAGCATTGAGCAATTTTCCAGTAGTGTTAATGGATACACCCTGCTTTATCTGATATCTAACCCTACTTGTGGTCAGCAGTATTTATTTGGGAGGTTGGACCTATGTTGCTATTGGTGGCTGTTGAATGCAATTTCAAACTACCTGGCCCATATAGCAATAGAACTCAGGACCTTACTCTCATTATCATAATTATTTAACAAACTGAGCAAGTTTGCCATTCATAAACATAAACCAAGTTAAATATTTAGTAAGGGATTGTTATGGTCATAAGTTCTTTCCAACTTCCAAATTCAATGCTGAGCATGTTGCAGTTCTGGTTAAGATGACAGATGGGTAAATGTGGTACTTCGAATCTATCACAACCACAGTCATTGAGAACCACCTGAAATCTAGCTGATTCTGTTCACCTGAAACCCATCAACTAAAGATATAAAGAAGAGGCCACATCAAAACTAGTTGGAGGGGCAGGCTGGTTCCAAACCCACGTGTGGTGGTTAAAAATTGGAAGGGATATATTGACTGTGGAAGTCCTCCTGAGGGCAGTGGTCCCAGCCCCACACTAGGGCCCATGCCTAGGGTTCCAGTGTCGGGAAGGGAAGTCCCCCTAACTCTGGCTTTGAAGACCAGCAGGGATTATGGCTGAGTGAGATAGAGGGCTTCTGGGGTCCCAGGTATACTTCTTAAAGAGCCCATACATGGACTTACTCAGACTCACTTGCTCTGAGCTCCAGTATTGGAATAGCAGCTCGAAAGGTGTATCAGGGACATATGGGGAGGAACTGAATTATCTGGCTTCTGGTGAGGGATGAAGGGCTAGCTTCTTCTCAGACAAGAGCTGGCAGAGGCTGTTGTTACTTTGCTGAGTCCTCTCCCTACAGAGCTGGCATGCAGGCACCATATCTGATTCTCTATCAATCTGGCTAACATGGTTCACTCTGCCCTGGTGATTCCTAGAGACTTGAACCCATCCAACTTTTGTTTTTTCCATACAAACAGCCTGTCTTGGCTCATGCTTTCCTAAAATCTCTCAAAGGTTCACAAACCCCAGATAAGCCTTGTCTGGCCTTGATGTGCCCTATACCTCTTGCTAAGTGACTCCAGTCCCAGGACTACCTAGTTGTAGTTGGCTGGATTCACAGCTTGGCCTCTGCAGGCACCCTCAAGCCTAGCACAAGTAGCAGCCCTCTGCAGATTGCTTTGTAGCTCGTGCCAAGTGGCCACTTCCAGGAGACCCCAGCTTCAGACCACATTGGAGCACCACCCAACCAGAGGACCCACTGAAGTAACTCTTGCTCTGTGGGGTTGGCCCATGCATCTTCTTTTGGTTCACACCAAGTCCTCTCAGTCCATCGGCCCAGGGCTAAATGCCTCCCATTGACATGCAATCAAGGTTCAACTACTGTAGGAAGGTGTACACAGCCCAAACTGGGTGCACTTGAAATGTCCAGATTAGGTAGCTGGGGAGGCTGCACCACTGAGCCCTATAGGACACCTACTACATTAGACCATTCCATAAGACTGGGAGATGTAGCAGCTCTACCTCATGTATAGAAACAAATGTAGGGAAACAGCCAAAATGAGAACACAAAGAAATGTCCCAATGAACAGGAAAAAAACTCCAGAAAAAGGACTAAACAAAATGGAGATAATCTACAAGCTGCAGGGTTCAAAACACTGGTTATAAGGATGCTCAGTGATCTCAGAACTATAACAAAGAGATGGGAAACATAAAAAAGAACCAGTTAGAAGTGAAGAATGCGTTACAGGGAATTAACAGTATAGTACATAAAGCAGAGGATCAAAAACAGTTATTGGAAGGTAAGGAAGCAGAAAATACCCAATTAGAACAAAAAGAATAAAAAAATTTGAGGATAGTTTAAAGACCCTCTGGGACAACTTTAAGCATACCAACTTTCGCTTCGTGGGGGTGCTGAAAGGAGAAGAGAGAGAGCAAGGAATTGAAAACCTATTTGAAAAATGATGTAAAACTTCCCTAACCTGGTGAAGAAAAGGACATACAAGCCCAGGAAGCACAAAGAGTCCCAAGCAAAATGAACCCAAAGAGCCCACACCAAGACACATCATAATTAATATGCAAAAAGTTAAAGGCAAAAAGAGAATCTTAAAAGCAGCAAGAGAAAGGCCAATTACTTACAGGGGAGCTCTTATAATATTCAGCTGACTTTTCAACAGAATCTTTGCAGGCCAGAAGAGATTGGTACAAAATATTCAAAATTATGAAAAGCAAGGAACTACTCTTCAGCAAAGCTATCATTTAGAATTGAAGGTCAGATAAAGAACTTCTCAGACAAGACAAGCCAAAGGAGTTCATCACCACAAAACAGCATTACAAAAATGTTAAAAGGTCCTTTTTTAAGAAGAAGAAAAAGATTAAAAATATGAATAATAAAATAGCAATAACTACATATCAATAATTACTTTAAATGCAAATGAATTAAATGCTCCATTCAAAAGACATATGGCAGCTGAATAGATAATAAGACCCTTACATATGTTGTCTATAAAAGACTCACTTCAGATCAAAAGACACACAGCTGAAAGTAAAGGGATGGAAAAAGATATTTCACAAAAATGAAAAAAAAAAAATCTGAGGAAGTAATACTTAAATGAAACAAAATAAACTTTAAAACAAAGTGTGTAACACTAGATAAAGAAGGACCCAGTAATTTTACTTCTGGGTATTTATATGAAGAAACCCAAAACACTAAAACAAAAAGACAAATGTACCATATATTTACAGTAGCCAAGATACAGAAGCAACCTAAGTGACCATCGAGAGATGAATGGATAAATAAGTGGTGAATTTACACAATGGAATATGACTCAGCCATAGAGAAGAATGAAATCTTGTCTCTGCAACAACATGGATGGACAGAGAGGGTATTATGCTGAGTAAAATAAGACAGAGAAAGACAAATGCCAGATGATTTTACTTATATGTGGAATCTATGTCACAAAATAAACCAACTAGCAGAACAGAAACAGACTCAGAGATACAGAGAACATTTTGACAGTTGCCAGATGGCAGGGGCCTGGGAGAATGGGTGAAAAAGGTGAAGGGATTAAGAAGTACAAATTGATAGTTATAGCATAGCCATGGGGATGTAAAAGTGCAGCATAGAGAATATAGTCAATAATGTGGTGATAGCTATGTATGATGTCAGATGGGTACTAGATTTATCAGGGTGATCACTTAGTAAGTTATATAATATCTAATTTCTATGTTGTACACCTGAAACTAATACACATCAACTGTTATTGATAAATAAAAATTTAAATAAAAAACAGCATGTTATGAGTAACCTAAGAGAAAGATAGAGTCAATAAAGGATATTCCCATGTGCTAATATTTAGGCAGCAATAACGAGCTGTGAAATTTTAAAGGACAGCTGTAAAGTAACCCAGTGGATCATGTGCTGGGGTTAAAGTTGACTCAGGAATTCTTTTCACCACTTTTCAATAAACAAATCGTCGAGGAAAGATTTGGCAAAAGGAAGAAACACTCCTCCTTGTCCTCATTCTCTCAGCAAAGTGGCTCCTGTTAACAAGTTATTTGAATGTTTACTTTGCCTTGACTGCTGAGCAGCGGTGTGTCGGTTCTTACCCTTGAACCAAGTGAGAATTCAAATAAACCAACAATGTTTTCACACCGACGGCCCCTTTTGAGTAGTACCAAAAAATCCTCTCCCGTTTGTAAGAAGGAGGCCAGCAAGAAAAAATGGAAAGGCAGCCCATGGACCGATCGTCCGTGATTGGGATGAAATTGAAATTGCTACTTGTAGATTTTAGAGTATCTGGTGTAGAGAAGTAGGCATTGTTAGCTTTGCTAAACTGCTGCACTCTCTGTGTATTAGAGAACCCCCACAAACACAAACCTTCCCTTGACTGCCATTCATCTCCATCAGTTCTCCTTATTACTCTGCTGCCTGTTTATAGCAACGCTCTTAAGGAGTCTTCGGTCCATGAGCATGAGTCCCCAGGTGAAGAAATGGAAGAGAACCACTAGTTCCAATCTCATAGGGTGGTTGTGAAGATGAAGTTAATATAGCAAAAAGCACCGAAGTGGTGTCTGACACATACTAAGTAAGCACTACATAAAAACTTGCTATTATTTTGTTGTTTCTGTTCTTTCTGCTTTTAAGGACAGTAGAGGAAGCATGTGTTTTGATTGTGTTGAGTTGTAGATGCTTGTGAGACACAAATTCACTACAAGGCTGTGAATGCATTCATTTGGAAGGATGGATTCTGCATAATAAAACACTTTGGAAGAATGAGCAAACCTTCTAACCATAATTTAGAACCTGGGGATTAGTTTGTCAGTTGGGAAGAAATGAATCATGTTCACAAACAGCTCTATTGATGATTCGGATCCATGAGGCCAACTCTTTTTGTGGTTTAGATTTCCTTTTCTTTGACTGTGTTTCAGTGAGCCAAGGCCCGGATTTTGCTCTGGAAACCTGTCCTGCCGCGTCCGTCATCTGGCGCTATGCATCCGGATCCTGGACCCTTACAGACACTGCTGTATATCACTCTTGCCCTCCTGTGCTCCTCAGTGAGTTCAGGTAAGAATAGAAGAACCGTAGTGTTTTAACGGAAGCGTCTCCTTAATCTTAAAACAGCAATCTCTCAACTTCAGTATTTTGCTGCTGGTGATGGATTCTAAAGACTTTTGTAAAATTTGACCAGATTTTAATACTTTGATTAACTTAGCAATCTAAGAATCTTTTAGTAGTGCTTCTTGGGCATCAGCAGGCCTTCCCATCATTATCCTTGTAATTTATGCCTTTTATTGCCTTAAAAATAAATATTTTGCAATTGTGCCTTTTTCAGTAAGAAGATATGTTTCAAATTTCTGAATTTGGAAATTATAACGGGAATAAAATGCTGACTGCATACCACCAAAATTTTTTTTTTTTAGTATCAGCATGTAATAGTATTCAACTTGGAGTAGGAGAATTTGGTTAAAATCCCAGCCCTCATGACCTTGTCTAATTTGTTACTACCTAACTCTGTGAGTTACTGGAAAGCTTAACTGTGTTTGTTGTTAAGTGTGTACAGAAAGCCTGAGCCTAACAATGGCCCGCAGGCATTTCTTCTTACTTTATATTTGTGTAAAGATGTATTACGTTATACATTGATGTTTACTCATTAAGTAATATTTATTTTCCTCTGTTAAATATATTAGGTTATATATTTAACTATATTATCAACTATATTAGATTTAGAAAGGAAAAATTGAATTAATGATTTTAGTACCTTTTTTTTTTTTCCTCTTTTGCTAAACAACAACCTCAGATTAGTAGAGAGGCACTTAATCTTTATTTCTGATAAAATATCCTGTAAGAATAGAATCAATAATATATTCGTGTGGTTTTTTTTTTTTTTTTAATTTAAGTATTTTATTCTGCAAGAGTAATAGCATTCCTGCCCTCTGCCCTCTTTTTTTGGGGGGAGGCGAGTAGTAGAAGAGAGAGCTCTGTTTTGATACTTACGTGTGTGAGCATCCTCTCTCCCTCCAAGTTCTGGGAGAATAGACATAACAAATGAACCTATTCCAAATACCGAATAAAAATAGTAAGGTTGCTGCCCTATTGAGCCTTCTATCAAAAAAAAAAAAAAAAAAAAAAAAAAAAAAAAAAAAAAAGGATAGACTTTGTAGTCCAGTGTGATTTCCTAACTTTCTACTTGTGCTCCCTTAAAAGTTGAACATTATTTTGAAGGGAAGTGGTAAAGCCTTATTTAAAAAATAACTTGCTTTTAAAAATCAAACCCTGTTGGTAACACGGTAGAGATTTCTTTTTCTTTTTCTTTTTAAATATATTTTATTAATATTTTATAGAGCAGAAGGGAGAGGGATAGAGAGTTAGAAACATCGATGAGAGGGAAACATGGATCAGCAGCCTCCTGCACACTCCCTACTTGGTATGTGCCTGCAACCAACGTGCATGCCCTTGACTGGAATTGAACCTGGGACCCTTCAGTCCACAGGCCGACTCTCTAGCCACTGAGCCAAACTGGTTAGGGTGAGATTTCTTTTTAGTTTGAAAGTCATTGCCACTTTCTCAATCAACTTTCATTTCTTAAAAGCTACTTCCTTCAATGAGCAACTTGCCATTTCTCATGTATATCTTATGGATTCTTATCTATTGCACCCTGATTGTTAAGCTGTAGGTTAACATGTTGCCTTTACTTCTTCCAAAAAATGGGCTTTTAAGACTTCCTAAAACTTTTACAAGCATTAAGAACCATAACATATATAGAGAAAGCAAAGGGTTGCCTGTAGTGACGTAGATTGAGAGGAAATGTCTTTAATGTACTTTCTTTCTCATTCTCCCTTTCCTTTGCACCTGGGGAATGTTCCTTTGTAGACCTGGCACCTTATTTTCTTTCTGAGCCACTGTCTGCTGTCCAGAAACCTGGCGGACCTATAGTTCTACATTGCTCTGCTAAACCTGTGACCGCTCACATCACGTGGTTGCATAACGGAAAAAGATTGGACCGAAACTCAGAGCAGATCAAGATTCATCAGGGGACTTTGACTATCCTTTCTCTCAACCCCTCCCTTTCGGGTCACTACCAGTGCATCGCCAACAACAGCGTCGGTGCAGTTGTGAGCGGCCCTGCCACAGTTTCCATTGCAGGTGAGTTGGATTTTGGCCCTGTTTTCCATGGGCTTTCCTGAAATTCCTGCCAGTGGTTGCACTTTGGGGTTGTGGGAAGAGCATGGGTTTTGGAGGAGGACACACGTGAGTTCTCATCCCTGCCTTGACACTTGCTATGTTTAACACAGAGGGGTGGGAGGGAATGTATTTGAACCTCTGTGAGCCTAGCCTAGATGTCTTCTGTAACAAGGGCACGGAAGTGGATTTTTACATAGATAGGACAGTTTTCTAAAGCGAATTCTGAATTTCTTGGTATTTAAAAGGCCTTCGTAGGAGCAACAACAAAAAACCTATTGTCTACTTCGACCCTCAGTTATTTTCTGCAGTTCTTTATCTTTCTCTCACATCTAATTGTTTTTATTTGCCTGATCACTGAGTGATTTTAATTTATTTAATTGAAACCAGGCTAGAGAAACAGGAGAATAATAACTGACTGTAAAGAAAGGAATGCTGAGTGTTGAGCTTAGGGGAAATCTGGACCTCGCAGTTTTCTTAGTAAGCTTGAGCCATCTGCCTTTCAAACGGTGATGGCTTCCAGCAAGGGAAACCTCTCCGCAAGGGCACCCCTATTTACAGAACAAATCTGGATTCCCCAGGAGTAGTGAGTTTGTCATAACTGAGAAGAGCAAATGTTTGTGTAGAGCTGTGACCCGTGGATCGCTCCAGGACACAGCACTGGAGAGCAGGCGGGTGGCAGGCTGCTGACTGCATGCAGCACTGGGGTAATGAAGGCTTCCCTGCAGGCTGCGTCTGCGGTAACACACACAGAGGGCCTGAGACCAAGTCCATATATTCAGACAATCCACATGCTATGCAGCTTTGTCTTCCCATGTCCCAGGTTGAGTATGAATAGCTGCAAACAGAATAATGATGCATAGGGAAAGTCAGTTTTGCTTTGTTTTTAAATATATTTCTGTTGATTTTAGAGAGGAAGAGAAAGGGAGAGAGAGAGAAAAAAAACACAATAATGAGAGAGAATCATTGATAGGCTGCCTTCTGCACATCCCCTACTGGGGATGGAGCCCTCAACCCCGGATTGTGTCCTGACCAGGGATCGATGCTCAACCACTGAGCTATGCTGGCTAGGCAGGGTGAGAAGGCTCTATCTTCACAAAATGGAAACAGTTATGCTTCATAATTCTCCCTAACGTTTTCAAAGCGGTTTGCTTTTCTCCATGTCTTCGGGAAACGGTGCCAGGGCTTAGCTCCAGCCTCAACCATGCACCTCTACCCCAGCTGCTCTGTGGGGTAAAAAGACCATGCTCCCCTGTGAACTGGGGTCAGCTGCCACCATCAGCCATGCTGCAGATGCTGTTTTTAGTTTTTAAATTTCCTTTGGGAAAGAGAGTTCACATTTACATTTATTGATTCTGTTGATTTTTTTTTCTTTCTTTTAGTTCTTGGTGACTTTGACTCATCCGCAAAGCATGTTATTACAGCAGCAGAAAAAAGCGCTGGTTTCATTGGCTGCAAGGTACCAGAGAGCAACCCCAAAGCCGAGGTGCGCTACAAAATCCGGGGCAAGTGGCTGAGGCATTCTACAGGTGAGAGCTTTCATGAAAAGACAGTGGCACCCACTGGTCAAATGTTCATTAAAGGACCTGCTGCTAAGCCCTGTGTGCTGGGGATTGTGGGTATAAAAAATGCATTGTATACACGTTCTCCGCTCTCAGAAGTCAGGGGGAGGAGACGAGAAGAAATGGTTACATTACAGAAATGATTACAATCTGCATTCCCTGTGCTCACCCTCTCTACTGCTTCAGGTCCCTGCTCAGATAGACCTTCCTCCGAGAAGATCGCCCTCTGGGCCCTTTCTAGAGTCTGTGCTCGGCTGCTCTGTCCTCTGTATTCGGCTTCGTTTTCCCCAGAGCCTTGTGTTGTACATGCGTTTGTTGGTTGGTTGGTTATCTGCCACCCCCATTCCCAGCACTGGACTGTCAGCTCACGAGTTTGGACAGTTGTCTTCTCTCTTCATGGCTCTGTCCCTTGTGCCTGGGCCATCATTGGCAGAAAATAGGCACTCAGTACCTTTTCGTTGAGAAAAATAAGGAATGAATAGACATGACTGAGCACTGGTGCCGGTTTGCCCAGGGTGGTGTAGCTGGTCACTGAGTCTTTGTCTAACTGCTTCTCCTGTCTGTGTTCCCAACCAGTGATCTGCTGTCCAGTGTTTCCAATGGGCTTGATTTTGTGACTTGAGTACTACTGACCTTTTCTTTTTTTTTTGCCTTAAGTTTTCCTTTCCTTCATTCATGAATTCCCTTCAATTGCTTATTTGCTGCTAGTCTTATGTCTAAATTTAAAGCAGAACTATCAGAATGGATTAGTTTTCATTGGTGTCCTTTGTAAAGAGAGATGTCTAACTACATCCTTTCCTTCCTCAGAGAATTACTTAATCCTTCCATCAGGAAATCTTCAGATTTTGAATGTATCCTTAGAGGACAAGGGATCGTATAAATGTGCAGCTTTTAATCCTGTCACACATGAATTAAAAGTCGAATCCATTGGCCAGAAGCTCCTTGTGAGTCGTAAGTATTTGGAAGAATATCGGTAACCAGGAAGAACCCTTGGGAGCATACCTCATTGGGAAATGAGAGTTCATTTTTCTCTTAGATCATGTTTGTTTACCATAAGAAAGTCTTAAAAAAACTAAATACAGAGGCGTATCATAAAATAGTATTGAACATGTTTTAATGATTATTAGAGGAGAATTTTGATTAAGAGGACAGAGCAATACATGTAGAGAACTTTGCCCTTTGCTCAAATAAAAATAAATGATAGAAAAAATATAACTTGATATTAGCAGTGATCAAGTTAGGGGCTGTGAATTATGAAAAAAATAGGTATCTGTCCTCTTTCCTACCTGATTTTTAGCTTTCATACCTGACTTTTACAGTAAGGTGCTTCAGCCAAAGCTTAGTGAAGTAGTGGTTCCTGTCCTTCGTTCCTAAACTGCTAATTCAGAAGTAGCCTGAAAGGATCACAAACTCTCTTCATTTTAATTCTCAACTACAAATGACTTAGCTGCCAGATAGGACCTTGTAGGGGAAAGAAAAATCAATGGGCAGGTGGGAAAGCTCACAGAATTGCTAAGGAAGAGATGGGACGTGATAATTTTTTTGTTTGTTTGTTTTCTCTTTTTTCCAGGCTCTTCTTCAGATGATTTTCACATTCTTCACCCCCGCCTTTCACAGGCGTTATCTGTGCTTTCTCATAGTCCTGTAACCCTGGAGTGTGTGGTGAGTGGGACCCCAGCTCTTCCAGTGCACTGGCTGAAGGATGGTCAGGACGCGGTGGCGGGAAGCAATTGGAGGAGGTTTTATTCTCATCTTGCCACAGATAGCATTGACCCAGTGGATGCCGGGAACTATTCCTGCATGGTGGGAAGCAAGTCTGGAGACGTAAAGCACGTGACGTACATGGTCAATGTCCTTGGTAAGATGTTGCTCAGTGACCTTTTGCCAAGTCAAGCTGTTTTCCTGATCTAACTGATGTTTGAATGGAAGAGCCGCTCATGAGCTATAAATGAAATGAGGACTATCAGGAAACACCATCACCAGCAGACAGAACAAGCTCCATTTTCCCAATGGACTCCTGAGTTAGGTAGTCTTTCTGGGTGTCGCAAGACAGTTCACCCGAACGTTCTTAGGAACCTCGTCCCAACCTGGTTGCGTAGCACAGAGCTTGTTTTTCTCAATGGCATGGAGGAAGGAGACTGGAATTCAGTAGGATGGAACATTCTGGGCTGCTATCAGGTGTACTATCCAGTAACAGTAACCAAGGCAGAGAACTGACTAGAAAATGTCATCTCAAAAAGAAATCCATTTCATTTTCTTTTCCCTTTTGGAATGCTTTCACTAAATCTGGCTCATGGAATTTGCATTAGTTTCACCTACATTTCTATATCTACTCTTTATCTCAAAGCTGTTCCTTTCTCTCAGCTACCTGTCTCACTGTCATGTGTAGTAGCAGAAATTGTTTTTCTTTATCAAGGCAGGTTTTCATGAAAACCAGAAAAAATAGGCGGTAAATGTTTCATACTTAATACAGTTTTTGTAAATCTGCATGTGTGTAATTGCAACAGTGGCCTGATGAAGGTTACACTGGTATTAATGTAAGTGTATGGCAAAGGGGCATTAAGGTTTAATGATCGTTAGGACTAGATTAATATGCATAACCATTTAATTTGGGCATATGTTACAAATGTCAATGCATGATTTACTTTGTTTAGGTAAAAACTCACTTGATGGATATTAAAGGAAGTTTTTTGGCCAGTATACACCTAAGCTCAAAGCAGAATTGGCTATAAAAATAATTTAACTTCTGAATAAAAGTTTTTCTGTTTTGGCTCTTGTTTGAAAGCCAGGGAAACTATTACTTTATTTCAAACAAATCACCTGAAACTAATGCTAAGAGAGTCCCCAAATTAGAAACTCTGTATGTGTATGTGTGTGTATTGGGGGAGTTAAGTGCGTGGAGAGAGCTATAAAAAGAGATTATAACGTATTAGTAACATATGGTTTACCCTATGAAAGGAAAGTTAAAATACATTTCTAATTTTTTTTCTTGACCACAGCAGATGGGAGAATGTGAACAAACAATCCAGTTTGGTTTTAACTAGTTATTGGTAGGGAAGATTTTTATCTGACGCACGTGATAACTTATGCTTTGTTTTCAGAACATGCTTCCATTTCTAAAGGACTGCAGGATCAAACTGTGTCTCTGGGGGCCACAGTGCAATTTACCTGTGAGGTTCGTGGGAACCCATCCCCCAACTGTACCTGGTTTCATAACGCACAGCCCATTCATCCTTCCCCACGACATCTAACTGCAGAAAACGGATTGAAAATCAGCGGTGTCACCATGGAAGACTCCGGCCTGTATCAGTGTGTGGTGGACAATGGGATTGGATTTATGCAGTCTACTGGGAGACTTGACATTGAAAAAGGTAGTGTTTAGGGCTTGTGATTAATTATAGGAAATCCTACTTTTCAGACAAGCTTTTGTTGCGGTTGAAATTTAACTAAAGGGAATGGTCCCACCACCGTCACAGAACTGCTTCATGTTCCCTGGTCCTTCCTGGTTGCAGAGAGGCATGTCCGTGAAGCAGCCTTATTAACCAGCTCATTAACAAATTAAAAAAAAAAATGTTTTTCAACAGATCTTTCCAAGATATTTCTGTAGATTCTTGTAACTTCAATTAAAATTCTAATCAGAATATTTTGAGGACTTTGACAAACCGATTCTAAAATTTATATGGATGATCAAAGGCCCAAGAATAGATAAGATAGTCTTAAAAAAGAAAAAAATATGGGGTGCTTGCCTTAACAGATATTAGAACATATATAAAAATCTGGGGTAATTAAGACAGTGGTATTGATGCAGGAACAGAAAAATAGATTCTTGGAACGAGATGTTTAGGACTGCCATTTGCTTACAACATTGAGAACTTTTACACAATAGGATGGAATTATTTTGCACTGTAATACTATAATGTTCTTAATGTTTTTTATGTGAATGACTTTTTTAACAGATAGTGGGCTCAAGCCAGTAATCATTACAGCCCCAGCAAGTACGAAGGTGGCAGTTGGAGACTTTGTGACTTTGTCCTGTAACGCCACCGGAGTGCCAGTTCCGGTCATGCGCTGGTATGACAGGCATGGATTGATAACCAGCCACCCGTCTCAAGTCCTTAGATCGAAATCCCGAAAGTCACACTTACTAAGACCCGGGGGCTTTGACACCGAGCCTGTCTATTTCATCATGTCCCGAGGTGGCTCCAGCTCACTGTACATCCAGGCCGTCACTCAGGAGCATGCTGGGAAGTACACCTGCGAAGCCACGAATGAGCATGGCTCCACGCAGTCGGAAGCTGTCCTCACAGTGGGTGAGTTGCCATTGGTGTTTTCTTTTCCAGATGAATGATTTTCTGTGATAATAGGAGATAAAGATTGCTGCATTGGGGACAATTTCTGGTGGTGGGAGGTAGGATTAGGCAATCTATAATAATAAAAGCATAATATGCTAATTAGACTGGACATCCTTCCGGACGAAGCCGAGGCTGTGAGGGTAGCCTGAGTCCCAGGTGCCAGAGGGAAGCTGGTGCTGGCAGCGGGAGGAACAACGCTCTCACCGACCGGGCTACCCCTCAGGGCCTTCAGTAGATGTTTAGAACGGCATCCCCAGCACGTAGACAGTTGAGTGAGATTGTCACCATATTTGTCATGTGAAAGTAAGACTATCACAGAGCAGTGCTGCCCTTATTCTTGGACCCATGGTTCCTGCCCTGGGCCTCTGCTTTAGAGGTCTTCGTGTGACCCTCTTCTGCTTGGGCCCTTGGTTCCTCAGGCCCCACAGGTCAGAGTCCATGGGGCCCTGTTCCTCCTTCTGTACAACAGGCCTGGGGCTTCAGAATTCCCTGCTTTAATTAGCGTATGGTCTGACGCCACCCAGGTCTTTCCCCTGGTACATCCTCCAGAGTGTAGGCCACACCACCAGTGTGCAGGTCCTTACACCAGGGGAGTGGTCAGGGATGTGAGGTCCTTACACCAGGGGAGTGGCCAGGGGCTGGTCGTCTGCACAGGAGTGATAGTGAGGTAGTTAGAGAGTGGATGTGCCCCGTCTTTCCATTTGCATGTTTGAAAGGACCCTAGCTCTGATTGAGGCTGGAGGTGGAAAGAGAGGGGAAGGCCAGGGACTCCATTTCTACTCTGTGCTGCTCACTGCATGCAGATAGAGGCGGGGATGATGTGAGTGTCAGCTCGCAGGCTGTGTGAGTCTGGCTCTGCCACGCAGGAGCTTTGTACCCGAGGCAAGTTACTGAACTCGCCTGTGCTTGTTTCCTCGCCTGCGGAACAGGCATAGTGACATGCCCCACTCGTGGGTCCATGTGAGCTTTCAAGGAGTTAATAGGTGTAAAGTGCAAAGAATGGTGTCTAGCAATAGAGATCCTCCAATAAATGCTAAGTGTTAGGGTATGGCTATTACCATCTACTCATTATTAAATTATAATCACCCACTTGGTGATGAAGGAAGGAAGGAATATTCACTGATTTTAGTAACTTTACGAATCCTCAACTAAAGGTATTGAGTGCTGAATAACTTTATAGATATACACTGAGTGGCCAGATTATTATGGTCTCTGAACGCATAATCATCTGGCCACTCATTGTATGTCCTATATAATAAAAGGCTAATATGCAAATTGTCTCTGCAACCAGGAGTTTGACCAGCAGACAGGCCGGCCAACTGCCCATGTCCCCTCCCCCTGGCCAGGCTGGCCAGACCCCACCCATGCACGAATTCATGCACTGGGTCTCGTGGGCGCACACACACACACATATACACACACACTGAGTGGCCAGATCATTATGTGTTCAGAGATCATAATAATCTGGCCATGCCGAAACCGGCTTGGCTCAGTGGATAGAGCGTCGGCCTGCGGACTGAAAAGTCCCAGGTTCAATTCCGGTCAAGGACATGTACCTTGGTTGCGGGCACATCCCCAGTAGGGGGTGTGTGAGAGGCAGCTGATCGATGATTCTCCCCCATCGATGTTTCTAACTCTCTATCCCTCTCTCTTCCTCTCTATAAAAAATCAATAAAATATATATTTTTAAAAATAATCTGGCCACTCAGTGTATATGAATGTGCATATGTGTGCGTTTATGTATTGATTCTGCTAACCAAAAATAAGAGTGGCTCTTCACAAAATGGTTAGCTATAAGACAGGTGTAATGCAGCTGCTGCTTGGGGAGCATTTGGCGGAAGTGGGGTAGAGGGAGCTGAAGAGGTCATAGCCATAGCTGATGAAACCAGATATTTCCTCTAAATGCCTCACTTTACATAGGATCTGAAGCCCTTAAAAGAGATGTAAACTGCTTTGTTTAGATCTTCTTAGACCTTTAAGATGGCCCCTTCTCAATTTTAATGTCTTGATAAATACCATTTTTATGTATAGTAACCCCATTACCTACATCCTGCCTAAGTGGCCCTGCATGGCTTCTTTTACATGCTCTCTGATAATTATTGAGATGCAACTGAGTTCATTAATGCTCAGAACTGTACATTCTGCTTCTTTCCACAGGAATCGGAGCTTTATTAAATTTCAGTGTACTGACAGCCATTTACATAGTTTATTGTAAAGAGAGAGAGGACTATCTCCCCCCCCACACACACACACACCACACACACACATACATATGCATCCCCAGTTTTTTTCTTTCCAGAGACCTTGAGTTTTGGGGTAGTGGATGTGAAGATATTTGTAGAGTGAGTTGTAACTCTTTGAGACCCCTATGGGAGTTGGCCTGGGTTCTCTAGGGTGTTGGGTGGGGTTGCTCTTCTGAGTGGTCACAGCAGGAACAATTTTGACAGCTATGGTTATACTCCCTGTTTGATTAGTTTCAACTCAATCATTAAATTCATGGCCATAGTTACGGTATTTAGAAAACCACCGTTTTATCCATCTTTTTTCCAGTGCAGAAAGCCATCCCACCTTACAACACGCTAGATATATCTATTCTGGCCACTTCACAGAGTTGCTTTGAAGATAAGTTGAAATAACATCTGTGAAAATTTTTTTGAAAGTACTATTAAGGCCTTATAAATGGTATCTAGCACCTTGTGAGGGCTCAGGTCATATGGTCGGGACAGTAAATGAAGATTGATTGAATCCTCTGTGTAGAAGGGCATGGAGCAGTCACATTGCATCCTGAGTAAGAGAATAGAACTCTGAGACACAGCCTGCATGGAACATGCAGTTTTTCTCCTGCCTCTGTATAAACTGAGGCATGCGGTATTTAAACTCCCCTACAGCCAAACACCACCTCCCCCCGGTAACCTGCTCAGAGGATCGTGAAACTGCTCTTGATAAAAAGGTTTCTCCATACTGTGAGCCACAACAAACGACCCCACTTGCTTGTGTCCGAATCTGCATTAGCAGGCACCAGATCCCTCCCTTCCCATCAGCCCACGTTCTGACTCATTAGGTAAACATGGCCGTTCCAGGAGCAATATTTTGAAGTCTCCCTGAGCTTCACTAGTTTTCTTCTTTATTATTTTCTCACTAGCTTCTTGTTTTCTTTGATGGAGGATGCTCCTGGGACACCTTTTCTCTCTCTTAAACAAACAGAGAACTGACCTTACACTGTTAGTCCTGTTTTTTGTTGCTTCTCTACTAAACGGCAGTAGTTCTCCTAAAAACACTCCCCCCTTTTACCAGAAACCTGACTTCACTGTGGAAAAGAAACTCCAGCGTTGTTTCCTGTGCTCCCTTCCTCCACAAAAGTAGTAAAAAAAAAAAAAAGAGGAGACTTTTTTTGGTCAGTATTAATAGCACTTTAGAGAACCTGGGCTGTCAATCCTTAAGTTTTCTCGTGCTGGCAATATACAGTATTTGTTTTTAATACATTGCCCTCTCGCTTCTTCCTAGCAGCGCGAACATTCTTCTGCCAGCTGCTGTCACTTAATCCCTCAGAACCCTGACTTCTTCATCTATAGAGTGGGAGTATTACTATCTAAGAATGTTGTTTTAAGAATCAAACAAGGTTATGTTTATTAATATCTGGCACCATGCTTGGTGCATTAAGATGTTTAAAGGTGCAGCAGCCTTTAAACCACTGACCTAATGCATTATATTTTTCAAAAGTGGTAGCTACTGGAGGTCAGAGGTTTCCATGAATTCAGTATTGAATGTTACCTGCTTTAACTTTTGGGGCTCAAATTGCATCCTTGTGGGCAGGCCACTATGTAGAAGACTCTGAATCATGCATTTCTTTAAACCGTCTCCCCTCTTCCTCCCTCTCTCCCTGCCCCCTTTCTCGGCAGTTCCTTTGGAAACAAATACAAAAGCGGGAGTAGTCACATCCGATGCTGCTCAGAATGAGAAGAGAGATGGTTCAGAAACTGGACTCGCGAGCTCCCTTCCCGTGAGGGAACATCTCAGCTCAGCGGAGACACCGTCCGAGAAAAGTGCGAGCGGTGCCTCAGTGCCCGAGGCCCCCATCATTCTAAGCCCCCCGCAGACCCCCACGGCAGACACATACAACCTGCTCTGGAGGGCGGGCCAGGACGGCGGGCTGCCCATCAATGCCTACTTTGTGAAGTATCGGAAGGTACTGTCTCCTCGGGGACCATCTCACCCTCACCCTGTGTGTATAGCATGTGCTGATGACCTTGTACTTTGGGGGAGCGGCAGGAAAGATGCTCCAGGAGGGTGAGTTGGGGGGACACATCCCAGCTGCATTTACCAGCTTATAAAAAGGGTGAGAATAAAGTATAAACAGTTTTCCCCAAAATTGGTATTCTCAGGAGCCCGTGACTTCTCAGCATTTTTTATCAAACACTTTAACCCCTTGGGGATAAAGCGCTATAAACCACTTTTAAAAAGGTCATCCCCCCTTCTCTAATATAGTAATATACAGTCTATTTATCAAATAAAGCTTTGACTTACTGAAAACAACTTTTTGAACAAAGTCCTCCAGCATAATCTCTGATGAGAATTTGCATCTCAAGTTGTCTTCTTCATTGTATTGGGATCTCGTGTTGTTTGGTTATTTATCACAGTAAACTGTCGGTTTTCTGGATGTTTTTCCTCCCGAGGCTTATCTTAAAGCAAAATTAAAAAGTCTCCCCTGTTTAATGAGACCAGCAGATGAATGAAATGGGAAGAGAGGCACTCATATTTAAAAATCACTTACTTTGTTCAAGATATTTGGTATCCATCTTTTCATATAATATGCTTAATATCTGGAAAACTTAACACTATGAGATTTGAATGTTGCTGTACTTTTCTAACCGGATGATTCTAGAGGCAGGAAGTCATAATGGTGTTCTTCGCCACATGGAAACTCCCATATGAGCTGGTCTCTTGTTTCCATTAATGAAGACACATGGATTGGATCCCTTAAGTTTATTTCGTTCAGCACAGATTGATCAGTGTCACGAATGAAGCAAGAATGCTAGAAATATATAACCCATAATTATATAATCCATGTATATACAAACATACATATTCTGATTTGTCATATTTATCATGTGTAGTGTATGTTATCATTAGTGCACATCATTATATGCTGATTTTATTCTCCCATTAGCCCAGTAAGAAACGAGTATTGTTTGCATTACAAGTAAATGGAACCGACTTTGGGAGATGAATCACTTGCCGGAGGCCATACGTGGTGGTAGGCAGCAGAGCCAGGCGTTCTTGACAGGGAGAGTTCCTGGGTTCTGGCTGCAGGCCTCCGAATAGTCCTTATATTTGTTAATATGAAGAAATATGGTTTCTCTGTTATTTAACACAGCACACCACTTCCCAAAATTCACCTGGGATGGAATAACTTGTCGTTTTTACCAAGTTTGAATGGACGTTTTTTTTCTGCCCTTTATCTCCTTTTTCTAACGGCCTGTTTCCTCCTGAGCAGCTGGACGATGGTGCTGGCGCGGTGGGCAGCTGGCACACTGTGCGCGTCCCGGGCAGTGAAAACGAGCTGCACTTAACGGAACTGGAGCCATCGAGTCTCTATGAGGTTCTAATGGTGGCCAGAAGCGCCGCGGGCGAAGGACAGCCTGCCATGCTGACCTTCCGAACCAGCAAAGGTGAGTAAAGCTGCCGTCAGAGGAAGGGCTAAGTATTTACAATGCAGAGCTTAACTTTAGCCCCTGTGACAAATAAAGTCCACATGCTTGCATCTGTGTGCCAGTTGAATGTCATGGTATCCTTTCTTCCTTTGCGCATATACAGAAGCTCATGTGACAGTGTGTTTTCTAACCTTTCCAGAGAAAACAACCTCATCGAAAAACGCTCAGGCCCCCTCCCCTCCAGCGGGCGTTCCGAAGCGCCCCGTGCTCTCAGAGGCTGCGGACCACTTTGGAGTGGTCCTGACAGACTCTTCCAGGCACAGCGGAGGTAAGGAGACTCGTCTGCCTACTCACTTTGTTCGCTCATAAATGGAGCCGATCTGTTTCAGATTATTGGGGAGCGGAATGGGACAGGGCATCTGTTTATCATTCAGGTTACACCCACCGTGTACTCTTCTAGGTCCTATTTCAGCCATTTTCCTCAATTCCCTGTAGCATCCAGATCTTGGAACCCAGTGTCATGATGGGTATTTAAAGTAATGCACTCAGATTCAGAACATCTGGTACTAAGATTTTAAAACTCACAAAAGGATTTTTCCATCTCCTCTCTGGCAGGGAAACCAAATTTATATTTTGAACTCTAAAAGTCTTACTTATTTTTGATGACTTATCAAAATATATGGTGGTACCTATAATAAGATTTAGATTTTTTTTTTTAATTGAGTGATTATAAGTCACACTCAGGGTCATTGCTATAGTTTGTCAATCTCATGGTTTTTAGGTAATTTATTTAATCATCACAGGAACCTGATGAAAAAGGTAGGATATCTATTGTACAAAATAGGAAACTGAGACTCAGGCAGTGATGCAGCTTGCCTGAAATCATCCAGAAATCAGAAGAATTTCTCTTCAAATTCAGATTTTTTAGCTCCAACTACAGAGTTCTTTTCTTTATCCTTCAACTGTCGCATGCTGTTTCTTTAAGATATTGAAAATATTCTTCTCTGTAGAGATATTTTTCCCTAATAACTTTCTTTTTCTATTCAAACTGTGGTGTTCTTTGATGAACTTTTAATAACTCTATAAATACCATTAAGTATACCATAATTAAAACTCTTTGATAAGTTTTAATCCCGCATGAATCAATAGAAAGAAGTTGTTTGGTTATGTAGTATTTAAAGAGATTTACTAACAGTTCTGTTCATTCTGTTCCCATCGCTTTCTAACTTGAAAGGAATACAGTAAGTATCACTCAAAGCTGCCTGCTTTGAATAGATTCCTTTTTATCCATAAATCAATTTGTTGTATAAAATGCCACACTTTTCTCCATACAAGTACCATATGCTACAGTGTTTTGTCCTCGTGTACTGTACTTGAATCTGGGTTGAGACAGAAGGTGTTGCTTGAGCGGTGTGGCACTGGACAGAGGCCGGACTCCCTTGGTGACTTCACCTGGGCAATATCACCATGGCCGGTGGGTCCTCCTTGTCCCGCTCAGAAAGGGAGCAGGCCGAAGAGAACTAGCTCACTTCACAGAATTCACAGCTCAGTGGCAGCGTGTTATTTTGTGATGTAGCTGCCATACCAACCAGGCTGTTTCCAGCAGCTTTCTTTCCTTGTAGGAGTGAAGTGGGCAGCCAGTTAGATCACACAGCAGCTTGGTCAGCAGGAAGAGTTAGGTACAAGGTTTTAAGGGCTGATGTTTCCAGAGAATCGGCCACAGGATCTAGACTGTCTCACCTGTGGGTTAGGCCATCCCCTACCCTTGGCAGTTGGAACTGAAAACTGCTGGACGTTAGCTCTCTCACCCCCGTTCTCTCCGTGTTCATGTGGTTGGCCGTGTGGCTCATGTATTTTCTCACAGCGCTTTTCTTTGATGACATAGCCTGACTTCCTGCTTTCCTCCTGAGCATGCTCTCTCTTTCCGTTATTATCGGTATTGATTTTATTAGTCAAATTTTATCTATATTCACGCCTAGCAGTCTGTGTTTTGGAGTAGCAGTCCTATAGCCTTGAGACATGTTAAGATAGGATAGCAACACCTAATTTAACAATCTCTAGATTGTTTGCTGAATGTGTTTTATATAATTTGGATGGATAAAGAAACCATATAAATTCACTAACAAATAATTTTATTATCAATTTACTATAAATTATAAGCATGATCAGACTTGAAGCACCCATTAATAAAATTACTCATACACTGTATTAGCCATGAACCCAAATTAGCCTGGTCACAATTATTACACTAATGTACAGTTTTTCAGAGACAGTTGTTAAGTTAATAGGTTAATTTTACTCTCCTTCCTTTTATTTCCTGTATTTGGCTATTTCATTGCCTTTTAGCAGGAAGATATATTATTTCCTCTGGCAAAGTTTGAAGAACCTTTAATTAAATATTTGGCAGTTATCCCCTTTAGTTGGTTTGAGTTATTCTTGTCTCTGACACTGTGGGCTCCTGAAGCGAATGTTTCTGCTCTCAGTTCCAGAGGCCCCTGATCGGCCCACCATCTCCATGGCGTCCGAGACGTCCGTCTACGTCACTTGGATTCCTCGGGCCAATGGGGGTTCTCCAATCACTGCCTTCAAGGTCGAATATAAACGGATGAGGAGCAGTGACTGGCTGGTGGCAGCGGAAGACATCCCTCCTTCCAGACTCTCTGTGGAAGTTCGTAGTTTAGAGCCAGGTATTAATATCCAAACGTTTCCTTTTTATACCATCAATGCTGACTGTAGTTGCATATTTCATTAGCCATAGAGTTTTAGCTAAAGTAATGCAAGCTCATTGCATAAAAATGTGAAAATAAAGGAAATAATAAAGAAGAGGCCACCACTGCCGTGGAAGAGCTGCTGTGCAGGGGCCTATCCCCGTGGAGCAGAGCTGACTTCAGTGGGGCCATCAGGTCCATCGGCTCTGAGGCTCCCTGAGAGATGCAGGCCAAGGTTGGCCACTGCCTGTGCCCTGCCTGGAGCCACCTGGCACAAGCTACAGGGTGATGAGCTTAGAGGTGCCCAGGAAAGGCCAAGCTGGGTCCAGCTGCCTCTAGTGCCAGACCTGCGGCCTCTTAGCAAGAGGTACAGGGTACAGGGCACACCAAGGCCAGATGCTGATGTTTGGGGTTCGTGAACCTTTTGAGAGATTTTAGGAAAGTTTGAAGCATGAGCCAAGATAGGTCTTTAGATGGAAAAGCCGCTGGAAGTGGGTTGGGAAGGCCTACAAGTTATCGGAGGGGGGTCTTGAGAAATCACGATGGTAGCCAGGTCGACGGAGACTCAGACATGGTGCCTACACCTGCCAGGGCCGGGCTCAGCAAAGGGAAGTGGCTTCTGCCTGCACTTCCCTTTGAGAGAAAGCTGCCTGCCTCTAGCCTTCTCCCCAGGGCCAGACAGTTGAGCTCCTCCTCATATGTCCCTGGTTCCTTTCATGCTGGAGCTAAGAGTGAGGGAGTCTAAGTAAGTCTGTGCACCGGTCTTTTAAGAGGAACTCCTGGGACTATGGCAGGCCTTTGTGTCAGACAGCCACCATTCCTGTGAACACACTGCACTGAGCAGCTACTACCAGTTGCTAGAAATTGCCACGTGGGTAGAAATCTATGTACCGCACAGGCTTCAGCATATGTTATTGTAATAGCACACTTGTCATAAGTTTGAGTTATTGTACCTTCAGTTGTCGTATTAAAGCTTTTTCAAAATTCTGGGTTGTTTTTTTTAATTTTTATTTTCTCTCCTCAAAAGGTTCAACATACAAATTTAGGGTCATTGCTATCAACCATCACGGTGAGAGTTTTCGGAGTTCAGCCTCTCGTCCTTATCAGGTGGCTGGGTTCCCCAATCGTTATTCCAACCGCCCAGTGGCCGGGCCTCACATTGTGCACACAGAAGCCGTCAGTGATACGCAGATCATGCTAAAGTGGACGGTAAGTGACACGTCTTCTCTAATGAGAAGCTTGTCTGGTTTGGCCATAGTAATAGTTTAATGTCCTCATGAACATACAGTGAACAGCAAATTTTTGAACTTTAAAAAAAAATATGTTTTTATTGATTTCAGTGAGGAAGGGAGAAGGAGAGAGAGATAGAAACATCAATGAGAGAGAAGCATTGACTGGCTGCCTCCTGCATGCCCCCTACTGGGGATCGAGCCCGCAACCCAAGACTTTTCTTGCCTCAGGACCATGGCACATCCCAGTTCCTGTGCCCTGACCGGAAATCAAACCAGGTCATAGGTCAATGCTCAACCACTGAGCCATGCTAGCTGGGCAGATTTTTGAACTTTTAAGTGAGGAAATTGAAGGGCACAGATATTTGTCTAAAAGCACATGTTATAAATGGGGTAGGGTTAAAAATAAAATTATTGTTACCTCAGTTCTAATCCCAGTTGCCATTTAATTGCCATTTCATGATTTATTCATTTTGAACCAGATGAACTTTTATGCTATTGCTTTAACTTTAGTTAGCCCTGCAGTAAGCTAAATGCTCTTAATACCTTTGAATACCTTTGAATTAAATTTAAAATGGCCATCAAGGATGTTTGCAAAATGAATCGAGAGAAATATTGTCAGGCAGATAGATAAATTTTAATGGATTTGAAAGCTAAATTTATTTTTGTTTTTGACAAGTTTTCTGCTTCTGGTTTTTTTTTTAGTACATTCCATCAATTAACAATAACACTCCCATTCAAGGATTTTATATCTATTACCGGCCAACAGACAGTGATAATGACAGTGATTACAAGAGGGACATCGTAGAAGGTAAGATCCATTGGCAAGTGGGGTTCCCAGTAAAGGAGTTTTGGAAGGAATATTATGAACAACATAATCCCAGGTTAAGATAGTATAAAAAATTAAAATACTATATGTACTATTACTTTGAATTTTTCCCAGAGAAAGATAATTTTTTTAACTTAATATATATAGTAGCTTACATTTTGGTTGTAAAAACTGTCAATTACAAAAGCATGGGGGAGGTCTGATTTGTCAGTAGTTCATCTGAAAATAATTTTCGTTTCCTGTTTTGTTTAAATGAATAGTAACCTGTGTATAAAAAACTGCAGCTTCTAGCTATATTAAAAAAAAAAAGTCTCAGCAGTTTCATTAAAGTTTGCACTAGAAAGATCACATCTTAAGCATGCTATCCACTTTTAGAGATGCTGAAAAATTATAATATACGTAGAGAAAAAGAAAAGAAAAACAGCCAAGATGGTGAAGGGTGCTCTATTCAGTTTGGCTCTGTGGATAGAATGTTGGCCTGCGAACTGAAAGGTCCTGGGTTGGATTCTGGCCAAGGGCACATGCCCAGGTTGCAGGCTCAATCCCCAGGAGGGAGCATGCAGGAGGCAGCCAATCAATGATTCTCTCTCATCATTGATGTTTCTATCTCTCCCTCTCCCTTCCTCTCTGAAATCAACAAAAATATGTTTAAAAGATGGTGAAGGGTATTGAAACTGTCTTTCTCCTGCATTTATAATATAACTCAGAACTTAGCACCTGGTCTGAAGGCACCACAGGATCAGCTGGCCCCTGCCTGCACCTGCAGCCATGTCTCAGGCCCCCTTCCTGTGTCACCGTGTCCTCTGTCCCACCCGGGCCTTCCTCGGCTTCCTGTGTGCAGCAAGACCTTCCTTGCCCAGAACCGTGGCACATCCCAGTTCCTGCTCCCTGTCGTGCTCTGCTCCCAAAGGCTTTATCTCTGTGAGCTCAAACATTTCTTCCTCAGATAAACTCCTCCCACCTAATTTCTAATCACAACCTTTATGTAGATTTCATAGAAATTTATCATAGGTGTATGTGTGTGTGTGCACATATATGAAATTATTTGCTTAAAGTTTGTCCCCTCGCTACATGTTAACGTCCTGTGGGGAAGGGACCTTTTTTCAGTGCAGTATTCCCAATCTATACGATGGCGAAGTGTTTAGTATTAATTTATTGAATGAAGTCCAGAAAGAACAGTAGAATGTCTAGGATGATCACAGAATTGTTTCACAACTCACGGCAGAAAAAAGATGATGAACAAGCAACGTGATAGTGGTCTTCGGATAGAAAAGACTATTCTGTGGAAGAGGAGCGCAGCCATTTGGGGGAGGGGCGGTTAAAAGGAAGTAGCATAAAAGAAGCATTCTCTAACCTGGCATTCCTAACATAGGTGCTGTTAGCACTGTCATAGCATTTCTAACGTAGGCGCTGTCAGTAATATCTTGGAAGGAATTCTTGCTTTGGGTGGAAGGCTTCTTTCAGGTCTTTTTTCACCCCAAAATTCTGACTCTTTGAAATATTAATGTCCTAAAGGACCATGTCAGAAAATTGCCATATGACTTCTTGACATCTAATACTGTGTATAGTTTTTGTTATATATAGTCTTACAATAAAACACTTTAAATATGCTATGAAATCACATTTCTTTAAATATTGTAACATTTCTCTTAATGTTTGTCCAATGGAATTACTTTTATAATATAATAAGAATTTTATCATATGAGTTTTAATACCTGGCACACAGTAAATATTGGTTGAATGAACTTGTTTCTCTTTTCTTAATTTGGAAAAGTAGAAAAGAAATCCGTTCCTAAAATTTGCTTTAAGCATAAAGAATTGGGGAAATGTAGAAAGATAATTGTTGGTAGTGAAACAATCCTGTGGAGTCCAGATAGCAGCAGCTTTGAGGGAGGATGACTGGGAAAAGCAAGCGGAGAACCTTTGCACGCTGGTAATATTCTCTCTTGACCTTGTTCAGTGTGTAACATAGTGAGGCGTACCGTTATGGGCACTTTTCCTTCCGCATATTTCCCTTTATTAAAAGACTATGTACACATATAATACCTTACTAAAAAAAAAATGGGAAAAAAAAAGACTATTACAAAAAGAAATGGAAAGAATTATCAGTGCCTGTTCTGCATTTTAGTCCTAGCCAGGTCTTCATTTTAGTTTAGCTGGGTTAGGAGAGTGGGGCTGTCAGATATTTATTTTAAAAATCTTTTGACAGAGGTTAAACATTTGTTATAAAGCAGTTTTAAACAAGGCAAATGTAAATAAAATGAACATCCCCCCTGTCTCTTTGTCTCTGCCTCCTTTCTCTCTCTCTCCCCCTCTCCCTCTCCCTCTCTCTCTCCCTTTCCCTCTCCCCCTCCCCCTCTCCCCCTCCCCCTCCCCCTTCCCCTCCCCCTCTCCCTCCCCCTTCCCCTCTCCCTCCCCCTCCCTCTTCCCCTTTCCCTCTCCTTCTCCTTCTCCCCCTCCCCCTCCCTCTCCCCTTCCCTCTCCCTCTCTCCCTCTCTCTCTGTCTCCTCTTCCCTTCCTAGTTCCCCTCTCTAGAAATATCCACTGGAAAACAGTTTTAAACTATATTCTGTCATTACATCTTTGAACCCTCACCAGTTTGTGTGATGTGACTGTTGAGTGTGGAACTGGGGAATCGCTCTAAAGGAGCTTTCGTATCCAGTAGTAGAGCCTGTGAGTGTGCGTTTCACCTCACGGTTCACAGAGAGTATGTTTATAAACGTGGTAGACGAAGCAGCTAGATGTTTAAGTGGGCTGCACTGTGCTGTGTAATTTGCTTATTTCTTATTTTCAAGTTTATGCATTTGAAATTCCTTCTGTGGCAGTTAACTAGTGGCCTGCTCTGCCAAGCCCAGGAGCACAAGTGTTCACTCGCTGTGCGTCAAGCCGTCTCTAAAGGGAAGTCGTAGGTTACGTATGCATAGCGACTCAGATCATTCAGGATTTTTTTTGGGGGGGATGGAATATCACATTGTTAAAGAATACAGTAAGAGGACAGTGACATTAAGTGATCCTATTTCTGAATTAAGTTCCACATTTAGATCTAGCTATAAATGTGTCTAGCATACCACTGCTTTTTTGCTGGATATTTTTATCTTACCAGGTTAAGTTGCGTTCCAAGTAAATCAGAGTAATTGGTCGTTTGAACTTTTAAGTCTGTGCTTTTGGTTTCTCACCTTTTGTAAAATATCTTTTCGAGGGAAATTGCATGTTGACTTTAGACCTAATAAGGCACTTGGTTGTCTTATTCATCAGGGATGGATAAAAACTCATTCTCTCTGCTGATGTTTCCTGTAAATTTAGCCATTGGGATAATTACCATAACAATGGAATGTTAATCCATTATTTTAATGGTTTTCTCTTATTAGTAACATATCAGAAGCTTAATTTAATTCCATTTTTGCTGGTGCTGTGAAAGGAAAACTTCAGATTTAATGTAGTAAATAGTCGTAAGAATGTGTATAGTTAAGAATGTGTATGAGTGCAGAGCTGGGCTAGGAAAGGCCTATGGGTAGAGAAAAATAATAGACATTTTTTAGAAAGACTTTGGAATTTTGCCCTGGCTGGTGTAATTGGAGCATCTTCCCTTGCACTGAAAGGTTGTGGGTTTGAATCCTGGTCAGGGCTCTTGCCTGGGTTTCTGGTTCGATCCCAGATTGGGGTGTGTATGGGAGGCAGCTGATCTCACATTGATGTTTCTCTCTCTCTCCCTCTCCTTTTTCCTCTCTCTGTCCCCACTCACCCACCCCCTTCTTCTCCTCTCCCTAAAATCATTAAAACATATCCTTGGGCGAGGATTTTAAAAAGAGAAAAGGTTTTGGAATTTAGAAATAATTCTGATCTAATCTCAACCAGATTTTGAGTGAGGTTTCTTTTAAGGTTCTCTTTACATTTATAAGCTGGTCATAGATTTCCTCACTTATTGAGGAAATGAGCCCTTCAGAGGCCCTTGATCCTAGAACAAACAGGTTCTTCATCTCGTAAAACGGGGGTCTTTATAAATGAGGGTTTTGTATTGGTGTCCCGGGAAGGGGCTGTGCTTTCAGATTGAGCTATTTCTGTCCGTGTTGAATTAGAAAGGAACCTGGTGCTGTGACTCTATCAGCCAAATCACTCCGACTTGCACGGCTGGTTTGGTTTTTCCTCCCCCTTTGATTAATTCTTAAATCAGTTGGTGGTATAGCTGAGTCCCCCAGAAACAGTGGTGACGGTTTGAAGAGGGATTAAAGGTGCCTGAAGAGTTCATTGACTTTGGTGGAAGTGTCGCGTTTATTATTAACGTTTGTCACAGGTCCACGGAAGTAGACATGGAGAGTGATTTGCATGGCATGCTCAGCTTCTAAAGGAAATGGTGGCTGGGTGCCACGGATAACAGAATCATCCCATTAGAGATACTTACTTGGTTTGGAGACCCTGACCCAAAAGAAGGGAAACGGCGGAGCAGTAGCCAGGGGTTTCCCGGGGTGGGTTTGCTTTGGGTTATTCTCAGCCTTTTCTTCAGCATTTGTTTAATTGTCAGTTGACGGTGAGCTCCTTGCAATGGACTTGGGAGCTTTGCGAAGCCTGGTCACTTGTTCCAGGAAAGGCACCACTTGCTGATCTCACATGTAGTGTTGCCCCTGACGGGTGGGCAGAGTGGATTGGCTTGCTGGGCTGAACAGGAGGATCAAAGGGCTGAGAGTGTTTTCCTCCTGCGTGTGAAATTAACATGCATTTTACAAAGACCCGCCAGTAATTATTTGTAATAAAACGAGGTATTACCGCCAGCACACAGGTCTATCTTTAATTCCGTTTATCTCTTTATCATTTTTGTCCATGCCATGGAATAGAAATACAACTTATTTGTGGTATATTACCAAAATACTTAAATCCCGTACCTTTTTATTGTACAGACTGACTATATGGGAATGGATGCTGCTCCCACCTCATTTTGAAATTAAGTAATTATGTTGACAATATCACTGAGATTGTGTGACATGCAAAGTTTATCTCTTATCTTTCTTTCTAGGCTCAAAGCAATGGCACACGATTGGGCATCTGCAGCCAGAAACCTCCTATGATATTAAGATGCAGTGCTTCAACGAAGGAGGAGAGAGCGAGTTTAGTAACGTGATGATCTGCGAGACTAAAGGTAAGGGAGGAGGGAGGGTTTGTGCTTTTCCCAAACTCTGGATTATTCCTTCTGACTATTGATTGAGATGTTTACCTAAGGAAACTTCTGCTTTGGAACTTATTCTAGGTGCGTACCAGTAGACTGTCCAAACTATGTTGTCTAGAGCACTTATCTACAAAATAATTTACATGAGTATCAGTCACATTTATTAATCTCTCTGTCACTCTAAGCCACTTCTTTTCTCTCTTTCTCCATCAAGAGAACAGAAATATTTGCTGACTATTACTGACTGCTGTGAGAATTAAAATACTAAACAGAACGTATAAGAATTTAAAGGTTAAGTGCAACATATGTTTAAAATAGTTTCTGGAATGACAGATGTTCATAACAATACTTGTTTAAGTATAGTAGTTAAGTTCAGAATTAGCAGTCACTAATTCTAAATTGCAATCCTCAACATACCTACATACCTAGATTAACTGAAATATTACCATCTTTTAAAAAGGAAGATATAATAGAGGATATTTATAAATCAAAAGCACTTCTGATCAGTCTCAATCTGACAAAAAGAGAAACATTTTTTCTTGACTATTCTTTTTCCCCCCAATCCTCACCCAAGGATATTTTCCATTGATTTGAGAGAGAGAAACATCAATGGGTCGCCTCCCATACATACCCCAACTGAGGATCAAACCCACAACCGAGGTATGTGCCCTGACCGGAATAAAACCCGAAACCTTTTTGGTGTGCCAGACGACACTCAATCAACTGAGCCACCCCTCCCGGCATCTTTGTGCTATTTTTATTTTTTAAATGTATTTCTATGAATTTCAGAGAGGAAGGGAAAGAGAGAGAGAAATAGAAACATTAATGAGAGAGAATCATTGATAGGCTGCCTTCTGCATGCCCGCTACTGGGGATCGAACCTAGAAGCTGGGCATGTGCCCTTGACCAGAATCGAACCCAGGACCCTTCAGTTCACGGGCCGACACTCTATTCACTGAGCCAAACCAGCTAGGGCTTTGTCCTGTTTTTAAGAACCAGGGAAGACTTCCCATAATCCTCTAGTTGATCCTTCTCCCTCAGGTCTCATTGGCCAGAACTCAGTCACATGCCCCTGACATTCCTGGGGTGGATGATGGGTCGGGACCTACTCCAGAGTTCTGTGGTGGCCAGCGGGCACCTAAACAGACTTGGGGGCCCACCTGCATGGGAGCAGGAGGCTAGGCAGCCTTTAGCATCTGCTGCAGATGATGTTATTATCCCAACTTATTTATTATTTTTTAATATATATTTTTATTGATATTTTACAGAGAGGAAGAGAGAGGGATAGAGAGTTAGAAACATCGATGAGAGAGAAACATCGATCAGCTGCCTCCTGCATACACCCTACTGGGGATGTGCCCGCAACCAAGATACATGCCCTTGACCGGAATTGAACCTGGGACCTTTCAGTCCGCAGACCAAAGCTCTATCCACTGAGCCAAAACGGTTTCGGCTATTATCCCAGTTTAAATGAAGATTATAAAGGGGTCAAAATGATTGACTTAGTTCCATCTTTTAATTCTAAATCCTGTGTCTTTCTGCTGTAAAACCCATATATTGAATCAACATTTAAATATATACATACATATGCCTTTAGCTTTACCTTGAATTTTATTTGGTTAGCACATATTTAAGTGCCTTCTTGTATCAGGCATTCTGATGTGTTCATGGGCACTTCTTCTCCACCTCTAGAATGCTGTAGCGCTCAGAGGAAAGTTACATAAAAATGAAACTTATCGCCCTAACTGGTTTGGCTCAGTGAATAGAGCATTGGCCTGCAGACTGAAGAGTCCCAGGTTCAATTCCGGTGAAGGGCATGTACCTTGGTTGCAGACACATCCCCGGTAGGGGATGTGCAGGAGGCAGCTGGTGGGTGTTTCTCTCTCATTGATATTTCTAACTCTCTATTCCCCTCCCTTCCTCTACGTCAAGAATCAATAAAATATATTTAAAAAAATAAATTTATCATTTCTGTTCCCAAGACATTTAAGAATATAGCCATACAAAACATAACACATAGCCACAATGCAATAACTGCTGTTAAAATAGCATTGTAGTAGAGCTGTGTCTGCAATAGCATCTCTCACTAAGTGACTTCACTGGGGAGTAAAAGTTCCTCCCTACAGACTTTCAGATCAGTGTAAAATGAAAAAAACCTAAGGCATGAAATGAGGGGGGGGTGGGGGGGCATCGATTGGTTGCCTTCTGCATGCGCCTTGCCAGGAACTGAACCCATAACCCATTTATGTGCCCTGACTGGGCAGCCTTTTGGTACACAGGATGGCACTTCAACCAACTGAGTCACTCTGGCTAGGCTAAAAAAAGCTTCTTTAAAATGTTAACTGTTCATTGTTGAGTGACTTTCTACAATGTAGTACAGTTCCTGCCTGTTTAAATAGAACATGTTCCATACAATTGCACCTTTTAAAGAAATTACTCAAAGTTCTTCTGAACACTTACTATCTTATCCTCAGTAATTCAGGAAGGTTTTCAGGAATGACGGGTGCTTGCAGGCCCCCATTCCCCACCCTCAGAGATCATAGACTGGCCGGATTTAACTTAACTAGAGGTTGGCAACCAGATCATCAAGCTTGGTAGAATTATGAATAAGTGAAGGGTAAATAAAGAGTGAACAAACTGGAAGGACTTCACTGCGAGTAATCCTGGTCTTTATTGTAGACTCTGTAACATCCATTCTGCCTCCGAAACTTGTTTGTTTTCTTTAGAATTGGCAGGGACCTGAGAATTGTTTAACCCAACATACCATTTTTCCTTTGAGTCTCTGCCAAGCATTGAGCTAGCTCTCCCCTTTGCAAGGTGGCCTCTCGCCTCTCCTGTACCATACCCCTGCTCTGTTCTGTCTGTTAACATTGCTAGAGTATTGAACTCCGATATAATGTGAAATTGACTTTTTTAAAAAACATATTTTATTGATTTTACACAGAGAGGAATTGAGAGGGACAGAGGGATAGAAACGTCGATGAGAGAGAAACATCGACCAGCTGCCTCTTGCACACCCCCACTGGGGATGTGCCCACAACCAAGGTACATGCCCTTGACCAGAATCAAACCCAGGACCTTTCAGTCCGCAGGCCGACGCTCTATCCACTGAGCCAAACCGGTCCCAGCTGAAATTGACTTTTTAAAAGACCACTCAGCTCCTATGAGCCTGTGGGTAGCGTAATATGACAGAGTGTCTTAAGTAATAATCATAACAAAATTGAACACCATGTGCTATGAGTAAGGCTCTAAGTGCTTTACGTAGGTTGGCCCGTTCACTCTTCATTACAACCTTGTGAAGGAGCTGTTCTTATTATCCCCCTTTTCCACGTGCGGAAGCCGAGATAATAAGCCTTCATGGAGGTTTAAACCAGACAGCTGAGGACGAGTGGTGGGCGGGATCTAGACCTAGCCAGTCTGCTCCGGGCCAGACTGCCAGCCCCTGAGCCCACACTGCCTTTCCAGGACCTCTAGCAGGGGTCTTCAAACTACGGCCCTCGGGCCACATGCGGCCCGCAGAGGAGTCTGATCCGGCCCGCCAGGTTTTTTGTGCAGTGAGCGCAGCCAAGGTGTTACAGTAGGAATTAGTAGTTCATATAGTCCGGCCCTCCAGCTCTCTGAGGGACCGTGATCTGGCCCCCACTTTAAAAAGTTTGAGGACCCCTGCTAAGGCATTAAGAGCATGTTGTCTGGGGACAGAAAAATGGGGTTTGAGTCACACCTGTGGTTAGCTTTTCATTCTCATGGTTATACCAGTGAACTAGGTAAAAGTACTGCACCGACGTGAACGCCAAACGTTTTTGGTGTTGGAATGCTTTATACAGTGTATTTATGTGGGAGGTTTGGGGGATTATATGCAATTATTCTTATAGTCCAAAGTCGTATTTTCTAATATTCATCACATGGCAGAGGCATAAAATATGTAATTCAGCTCGAAGTATATCCGATAGAAAGGAGTTTTTATCCCAGCCATAGTTGAAATAGTTTTATTTCAACTCTTGGGGAGTCTTCTAAGAGTGTCCATTGGGCAGAGAATCAGGAATTTGGGTTAGACCAAGCACGCATGTTTTTCTGATGTCTGTTTTCTCTAAAATGTGTGGACTAAATCTTCGGCACACCAGATTTTTGAAACTTTGGAGTCCTCTTTGTAACTCATTGGTGGTCAGATCATCTCAGTTAACAAGTGTAAACAGACTGGCTAAGTCCCTAGCCAGACCTCCTGCAGAGAGTAAACCGTGCAGTCTGTATTCGCCCTGACATCATGTTTTCCTTCTATCTCACCCAGTGAAACGTGTTCCCGGAGCCTCGGAGGATCCTGGCAGAGACCTGAGCACCCCTCCCAGCTCCTTAGGAGGCGGAGGCCACGCGGGGCCCGCAGCCAGCCCCGCCAGGAGCAGCGACATGCTGTACCTGGTGGTGGGCTGTGTGCTGGGCGGCATGGTCCTCATCCTCATGGTCTTCATCGCCATGTGCCTGTGGAAGAACCGCCAGCAGAACACCACGCAGAGTAAGGCCCTCCCGGAAGCTTCTTCTCTCTGTTTGAAGGAGACGGGAGGGTGGGGGAGATATTCTCAGAATACATACCGACTTCTCACAGTTCTGCATATTAGCCTCCAGACTGTGCACAGCTTGTCAACAGGGAAGGGAAGAGGCATGATGGGAAGGAAGAGAGTGAAGACTGCTCTAAGTTACTGTCTCTGAATGACACTGTTTAAGATAACATGGTCCTGTTTTGGTGCCTGATGTACCAAAACTCCTCAAGTGCATCATCCCCTCCCCTAAATGCTTCTGGTAAGAGGAGCGCTTAAGCTAGGCCAGGATGGCGCTGGATGAAAACACATAACCTAGGACTCCTTTCCCTTTCCTTCCCCCGGTTCTCTTCCTGCCTGTCCTGTTCTCCCGGCTGTGAGGGGTCATCAGAGACTTCACTTTGGTGGGAGGAAGTGTTTTTATTTCCCTTTTGGCCAGTCCTTCCTTGTTTCCTTCCTTCCTTCCTTCCTTCCTTCCTTCCTTCCTTCCTTCCTTCCTTCCTTCCTTCCTTCCTTCCTTCCTTCCTTCCTTCCATTTTATTCTTTTGAGTAATTGCTCCTTGGTTAATTTCTCTTTTCATTAACAGAGTCGTAATTAACTCAAAGTTCCTAGATGCTTCCACGCGGTAAAGGGAGTGGCAGCAATGACCTCACTAAAAAACAGCTCACAAGCTGGCTATCTCCGAGCACTGGGGGAGTGTTCTCTTCTAGCGTGTTTGCAGTTTCTTAATGGTTTTGTTCAGAAACCTTCCTAAGCAAAAAGATCATCCTTTTCAGTACCTTTTTTTTTTCTTCTTCTTTTTTGTTCTTTCTTGACAGAATATGACCCACCAGGATATCTGTACCAAGGCTCGGACATCAACGGGCAGATGGTGGAATACACCACCCTGCCCGGCACCAACCGGATAAATGGCAATGTACACAGGAGCTTCCTGAGCAGCGGAGGTCTCAGCAACGGCTGCTCCCATCCTCACCACAAGGTCCCCACCGGGATCCGCGGGCCCGTGAACGGGAGCTTAAACGGAGGGCGTTACCCTGGGCACACGAGCTCTCTGACCAGGACACGTGTGGACTTTGAGCATCCTCGTCATCTGGTGAATGTAAGAGACCCAGTTATAAATGACACTGTCCCTGTGTCCCACCCCCTGCCCCCCAGGCCTCCAGGCCCTGGTACACAAGCAGGGTGGGCATGCTGGTTCTTTTCCCTGTGGGAACCTCACTGGTTCCCTGGAATGGAACTGGTATGTATCCCTGACAATCCCTCCATCCAGCATGATCTTTGTACGATTTATATTATCGGGTACTAGATAAATTCACCAATCTGGTTTATATTTTTTAAAGATTTTACACTGAAGGTAGAACATATAGCAAATAAATGGAAGTTATTCTTGAGCTGAAATGGAAGAACCATTGGGTGAAGGCTGGTCTAAGTCCTTTAAACTTGACTCAAAGCAAAGTCGGAGAACTCCTCTCCCTGGAGGAGTCTGGCAGATCATGACACCGAGTGAAGCGAGTTCAGGGTGGGGCAGGCGCTGGAGGCACCAGCAAAGGCACAGCACACGCACTCTTAGAGGGCACGGCAGCTCCACTCCTGCAGTTGGCATGCAGGACCCAGTGTGGCCAGATTTCCTGCTTTTTCAAAACACCTGCAGATCCAGGTGAAACTGCCAGGGTTTTTTGTTTGTTTGTTTGTTTGTTTGTTTTAATGTTTTTATTGATTTCTGAGAGAGGAAGGGAGAGGGAGAGAGAGACAGAAACATCAACGATTAAAGAGAACCATTGATCAGCTGCCTCTTGCACGCCCCCTACTGGGGATTGAGCTGCAACCCGGGCACATGCCCTGACGGGGAATGGAACTGGGACCTCTTGGTTCATGGGTCAGTGCTCAACCCCTGAGCCGCACTAGTTGGGCACACTTGCCAGACTTTTTACATGTTGGAAACTCACTCCAGTTTTTGAAGTCATCGCAAGGCCGCGCGGAACATGTCTACAGGCCACCAGACCGACTTCTAACACACGGTGATGTCAGTGTCTCTTGCCCAATGTGTGGGAGCCTTGATACCTGCATTTTACAGGGTTAATATTCTGAGCCACGAGAGGGGATAAAGCTTTCGAACCACTGTAACTCAGGAATAACTAGCTGATATGGTTTCCTTTTTGAAATGGGAACAGAACGAGTAGACTGTCTTAGATGTATTTTGGTTACAGAGGGTCTCTGCACCAGGACAGTTGACTTATTACATGTTTGGGATACACATCCATATTATTTTTCAACCAAATAGATAATTTCAGTTTATCACATCGAAGCTTTTGTCACTGTTCTGATTACAGATAAGTTTGCCATAACCCACAATGCGCTAAGATTTGAAGGAATATTTTTATTGTCCATTTTTATAAGGATTTATTAAATATTTTGGAGGATGAAGCAGTGGCATATCTTTATATCTTAAAGCTAGAAATCTCATGGCTGTCCTGTGACCTAGCTTTAGTATGTTGTAGGAAAAAATACTTTATTTGCTTTACTGCATCTCATTACCAAAAGAGAATAATGATCTCATTATTTCGTGTGGAAAGACATGGCCTGTGTTCAGACTCCCTAGACTTTTTTTTGTCACCATTCCTAATCCAAACCATGAACATGGGTCCAAGAGATCCAGGGAGAGAACATTGAAGTCCGAAACAGCACGTGCTGTTTCCATAGGAGGAAAAACAAGTCTGGTGTTTTCTCAGTATTTGAGCATAGCCCTTTGGTTTTTTGAACAATGAATTGCTATTTAAATAATAGTCGCCCCATTAGGTGTAAAATTGTAGGGGTTATCACCCGTGATTTTAACTCATTTGTTCTCTTGTTTTGATCTTCTGGGTGGGAGGAAGTCTGGAAATTTAAACAATGACGATCATCATAAAATCATTCATTCACTTTAGTATGGTTAGTGATGCAAAGAAGTACCTTACCCTGTGGATCGCTAACTTGATGGTCTGAAGCTTTTAAGTTTAAGCCCAGGGGCTGAATAGAACCGAGGAATATTCTCAAATGTTTTCTTAAAAGTTCCTGTTGCTAGTTGGATGAAGACTGTTGAGAGAAATTTTCAGTGTTTTTGGTTTGCTCGGATCCTGGCTGTTGGTATGAGCTGAGTGGAAATGGAAAGTATTCTGGGAAAAACAATTGCCTGAACTTTTCCTAACCTTGAAGGCCTGCTCCGAGCCTGGGTGCCACGGCAGCCTCGCCCACCCTTATCAAATTCCCGCGGCGAGCAGAATTCTGACTCTGACCGTGAGGCTGCTTCAGTTCTCAACTCCGTGCTTAGGAACTCTTGCCATTGTACATGTCAAGTGAACATTTGACAATGAGGTATGTGTTAATCTGGGCGTTTTTCTTAATTGCTGGGCGGTTTTGGCCAAAAGCAACATCAGAATATTAATAGTCCCCTCCAAGTAATTTGCTGGCTGAGAATCTGCTCCATCTGGAAAAACATAGCATGTTCGAAACCGTAGCATAGTCAAGCGGACAGACCCACTCGACATAATTACAGGAAAATGAGGATGGGTTATCTTATGACATCACCCAGGCGTTTCCCCTGTTTCTCCAGCTGGCGTCACGTGCAGCTCAGCTACGGCTGCTGGAGGTGAAAACGACTGGAGGGGAGGATGTACAGAGCGTTGTGGGCACATTAGGTTCGAAACACTGGAGGGGAAGTGACTGACCTTCCCCATTGATTTGTCTCCTCCCAGCACAAAAATACATGGGCAACATGGCAGCTAAGTTTTGGGAGTCATTTTAATGTTGTATATAACTCCTTTGTGAATATAGGTGAACGGTGGTAAGCACAGCATTGCTCAGGGAGTCGGTTGAAATGGACCATGCATCCATGCATTGCTGGTGTGGTTTTTGTATTTGTGAGTATTGAGGTAGTGGTCTATGGCCCCTTCAGCCCTCTTTCTTCTTGTCTTTTCCTTGTCCTGACCAGGGTGGTAGCATGTACACAGCAGTACCTCAGACCGAGCCGGTGGAGTGCATCACCTGTCGAAATTGCTGGAATAACAATAGGTATGTGGATACGTATTTGCACAGGTTGTTGTGAGTGGGTGTATGACTCCTTTTATTTTTTTTTTTTCCCTTTAGCAAACAAGTTCTTCAACTTTTACCTAAGATATAAAACTCTGAATAAGGGAGGCTGTTATAATTTTTTTTTTTTTTTGCCCTGCTTTACAGTTTTTATCTTTCTGTGCTTTGGTTTCTTTAGCAATGCTGACTAGTATTAAAGACTTTGTTTCTAAGGTATTAAAAGGTTTAAGGTTTTTGTAAAATCTTTAAATTGGAGTCATTCTCTTTGTACAGAATTTGTCTTTTCTCACCTGTTATTTTCAACTCTGTGTTATGGGATGTTTCTATTCTCTGTTATGATGAGAGCATGCTTGATTATTAGGGAAACCCACTGTGTGTATTGTAATGCTTTTTCATAGTTATATTATTGAAATTGATGCTTCTCTTTATCTTTCTCCCTCCTTCTCTCTTAAAAAGAAAAAAAAATCAATAAGAAAGCATATCCTCGGGTGAGGATTAGAAAAAAACCAAGACATGAGTAATTGGTGGATGAGGCAGGCTGAGAAGGAGGTGTCAGGGATGGTGCCCAGGTGGCGGTGCCGTCACTGAGCTGGGAATAGAGGTAGGAGATGGAGAGAGACTGCTTACCCCTCGACATACCTTCAGGAATCATCCTTTCAGACGCCTGTCAGGCCTCCTCACCCTCACGTTACCCGGGCAGCTCTCTTAAGACCTGGAGTGGCCTTGCTGAGAGCCTTTTCCATGTGCAGTCTTTCCTGCTCTGTACCCGGCCTCTCTATGCTCTTCCTTCTCTGCCTTCTTAGAGTTACACTTAAATGCATTCTTGGAGCGGACTTGTAAGAAAAAGTCATTGTCACCCAGAGACGCTTTGTCATCCCTCTGTTTGAGTAATAAGCTTAGGAAACTTCGCCCTCACTGCCTCAACTGGAGTGGTGACATGAAACTCAGAGCCGGTAAGAGGGCATGTGCACTGGAGCGATCTGTGGAGTTGAATTTGATTCTAGGGCTTGTGGCACGTGCAGAATGACTGCCTCACTGTGTTCAGTTCATTTGAACCATTTTCAGTGTTCAGAGTAATATATAACACATAGCTCACCGTGATACCTAGTAGCATACCTAGTTATTAGCTTTTCCAGGATCCAGTCCACCTTTCTTCTCTCCTCTTCTAAGTTCCAAAGGCATCAGTGCAGTTCCTGATGTGTAACCAAATGGGGTTTGTCAGCTGTTTGGCGAGTTTAATGGGAAGGAATTGACATTAAATCTGGTCTGCTTTCCATCAGTCTTGATGATTGGTAAAGAGTAGAGAGGACACTGATGAAATTCACAGACGAGTGAACTGAGAGGTCCCATCAGGAAGGAAAAAGAAATTAAGGGTCCTAGAGAGATTAGAAATGGGCAGGATGTAAGCCAAGTAAAGATCAGCTTGGAAAAATGTATATATCCCATCTGGGGAAAAAGTACAAGCTATACATGGCCGAGTCTTCATTATTTTATGTCAACAGAAACAGACTCTGAGATAACTCCGATGTTACAATAAGCAGACAGTGACTTTACAGCAGCAATCAAAAATGCATTCGGGGATTTAAAGGAAGATGTACACACATGAATTCACATATGGGGGATTTTTGTCTGTGAAATAGAAACTGTAAAAAAGAAGGCCAAGTGGAATTCCAAAACAGAAAACTACTTAACTGGAATGGGCTTGTCATCAGATTAGAAACAACACAAGGAAGAGTCATGAACTAGAAGATCAATAGAAATTATGCGGTCTGAAGAATGGAAAGAAAAACAAAACACACATCTTAGATGGAGACCAGAAATAAAAGTGCGGCAGAACTGAAGTGAATTCTGCAAAAGAAAAAAACACTGAAAAAGAAACAAAATCTAGTTTCTTAATATCTAATCCTTATAGACTTTGACTCAGTAGTATTTTTTCCAAGGATGAGAGGGAACAAGTTATCCGACTTCAAAGAAGTATGTTTTCCTTGGTTTGCGTAAGGTCATTTCTCTCATGTGGACATCAGTTTCTTAGCTTTAAGTCTCCTCGTGCGCGCGCCCCCCCCCCCCCTTTCTTCCAGTGGCTAACGGCCTTCCCCTGCTGTGAGCTGTGTTCAGAAGCCAGTTATGAATTAGGAAACCACTTCTGACAGCAGACTGAGTCCCAGGAGGCATGTGGGAGTAGGTCATCCTATGAGGTTCCGTTCCTAAGTGGTTTGTTTGCCTCTTGATTTACTCTCCTGTCGTATTCCACTTTAACTGTTATTTCTGAGTTTTTTTGATGTACCCGATCATAGTGAAGACTTCCGTTATTTTTAAAGAATAGGTGATACGGTCTCTTAAGAATCTGTGGTACACATGCTATTTCAAAATCAAAAAGTATTTTCATTGTGGCTTCCTCCGGACAAAACGGTTCCTTTTGGTTCATACCTTGCAGGTGTTTCACCAAGACGAACGGCACTTTCAGCAGCAGCAGCCCCCTCTCTGTGGTCCCAGTGGTGGCGCCTTGTCCTCAGGATGGTCTGGAGATGCAGCCCCTCAGCCACGCGAAGATGCCTGCGTGTCAGGCTTCCACAGCCGCCGACGGCGGCCCGGCGCCTGGGGAGAGCGTCGCGGACGATGTGGCAGCAAGACCTGCTCCACACACGTGCTGTCAGGACAGCAGGAGTGAGGTCACCTCTGATCCCACAGAGGATGCGGCGGGATGCAGCAGAGGTACAGGGAGGCATCATCCAACCTTAGCGTCTAGGTCGTCTCCATGTAGCTACGGAGACGGGGAGGTGGCGCGGACATGTCCTCTCTGTGATCACTCACATCTTCCTTAAAAGACTGGGTGGGGGTGGGAGACACTTCAAGAAAAGTTGACGAGGTCGATTTTGAAATTTTGTGGTTATTCACCTCCTTCAGCTCAGGCTGTCAGTCCCATGACACCTTGGTAAAGAAGCCCAAACAGGCTTTGATTCCGTTTGCACCTGGACGGTAGGCTTGCTCGGAGAGTGCCTTTTGCGGCCATGCACCTCGGGTTCGTTTGAGTTGATCCTGGAGTGGTAGCCTTTACTTACAGTGGTTATTTTGAGGGTTTTGCTTTAACCCTGAGGTGAATTGTATGACTGCTCGCCAGAGCTCAACTTTATTTTAAGCCTTTTATGCCTTTTGTCTCCCTCACATTCAAACTAAGCACACCTGGGCTCTGCTTTCACTCATTATTCTTTCTTTATTGCTCAGAGTAATGTGTTTAGGCTGCTTTGTGAAAATCAGCCTTTATGATTTCACGGTGTTCCCCAATCTTTGTGCTTTTCAGGAGACAGCTGTGTCCATTCAGAAACAGAGAACACAGTTTTAAGTTGGAATCCTCTTATCTTGCCACCTGCCTCAAAGGACTGTACTGAAAAGACAACATGGTCTCCTCCTGGCATTCCTTTAGACAGCCCCGCTGGGGTCCTTCAGCAGCCCCAGGAGACCTGAGGATGTGCCTGGGACTCCAGCCAGTCACTGCACAGAACAGGCCTGGGAATGGACTGTGTGAGGGACATTAATTCAAATCAGAGAAAAAGCATTATTTATTTTTGTAGCAGTAATGTCATATGAATGTATCTTAAAATGAGTGCCCTTTTATATTATTTATGCCTGAAAATTTTCCCTCCCCCCTCCCTCCCCGGTAGGAAACAACCTTAGTTTTGCATAGTGTTCGATCATCTCAGAGCATTCCACGTTTTCCACAAGCACCTCAGTGAAGAGGGTATGGTTTGAAATTCCCTGACTTTTTCCAGAATCGTGTCATGGTATACTGGCACCCAATCTTTGTCATCAGAGCCACCCATCAGTTATACTGCCCGTGTGGCAGGGCGCCCCTCAAAGCACACACAGTATATTTATATGTATAAATATATTACACACACACACACACACACACACACACACACACACACATATATATATATATATATATATATATATATATATATATGAGAACCCTCTGTGCCACGGCGCGCGAGCCCAGCTTTAATGGCTCACTACTCCTTCGGGGAATGTGCGTCCCTTCGGGGAAAGAAGCAGAATCATTCTCTTTAGAGCCCAGCAGTTCCAGCATTCGGTGAACAAAGCTAGTTTCCCAGAAGTTTCCGTGAAACAGACCCGAATACTATGCTCATCTACTGTCCATACAAGTGCATCCCATTCCCCCCCCCCCCCCACGTTTATATGTTTTATAAGTAGAACTTGGGTGAACTGTGCTGTCGAAGCCGCGTCGCTCGGCACGGGTTCCTCCGAGGAAGTGTCAGGCCCGGATCTTCGCGGCCAGGTGTCGGGGTGGCCCAGCAGCGAGCTCTCTGCCCCGGAGCCCTCGGCAGTGCTGTCGAGGAAATCGCAATTAGCTCTGGAGGGAGGGCTGCGCCACCACGTCTGCGGCAGCGAAGGACCCTGTGGTAGGACACGACAAGGAAGCCTGCCCCGTGTCTGCCGGTCGAGCTGCAGCAGCGCGGTGGGGAGCCTGAGGCACAGCTCGGGCCCAGGACTAAACTGCTTTGGAGTCTGAACATGGGACCTGCCCACCGGGAAAGAAGCCAGCTTCACCTTCAGGGCAGCCTCCTCGTGGACGCCTTATTTATATGATTAGTAACGCTGTTTTAAGTGTTATCCCTTTATTGTATTTTATTTATAAAAATGCCTTTATATATTGAGATATATAAATATAAATATACTATATATATATAGATATCATAGCCTTTATGTTAGGAGTTCTGAGTTCTCCCTACCCACGAGCTGTTCTGAGCTGTCATGCCCCGCGCAGTCCCCAGAGCTGGCCCTGCCTGGTGGCAGTCACTTCTCCAGGAAGTCCAGGGACACGGCCCACGGTTGGGGGGGGGGGGTGGGAGGGATGGTGGCACCCACGTCTGCGGGCCCCAGCTCATTCCCACCGTCTCACCGCCCTCCCAGCAAACCCACAAAGTAGGTGTTGAAGCCCACAAGCCTCGCAGGGAGCCGCAGTGCCCGCATGGGAGCCCGGCTGAGGTGGAGCTGTAACCCGAGCTCCTTGCACTTTTCCACGCCGCGTTCCAGAGCATTGTGGTTCCCTCGTCCCTGGACCCCGGCCAACGCACGTGCTCCGTCCGCCCTGCGGCGAAGTCCCTGCCGCTGCCCACGTGAGGCCGTGGGACCCAGCTCCCAGAGTGCACTCTCTCCCTCTGACCGCTCCCCCCCCCCCCTTGTACCACCACCACCACCCCGTTCCCCACCAGAATCTGATCTTCGCTTGGCTTAGTGACACTAGCTGCTCAGGCTTCTTCCTGTTCCTTTCACCTTAGAACTCTCTGTGATTCTTTGTTTTAGCATTAACCCCCCTCCCCCCCAATTTCTGTTACATCATGTCCTCTCTCCTTTTCCCCCTTTTCTCCATCAGGCACGGGTAGTCTGGTGACAGGTGACAGACAGGCTGGTGGGGTACGGGGTGTGAGTTAAACGACAAGGTTGTGAACCCTGTGGTCTTTGCAAACGTTGCTCCCGCCTTTTGTTTCCGTTGAACGAGGCTGGAGGCGGGAGCGTCCTGGACAGCGGACCGTGTCTGACCCGGACCTCCTTCCAGCTGCGGAGCCGCTGGGACGGCCATGTGACCGTGGGGCCCACCTGGTTGCTGTCCTCGGACGCGCTGACTCGGATGGGCATGCTTTTGTGTCATGTTGGAAAGTGTGCTGTTTCCCTGACAAGCTGTAACAGCCTGTCTGAGACGGTACATGTTGGACAGGCTGTAGCTTGGACAGGCTCTATTGGTGGAATGGTTTTATATTAAAAAGACTTTATATTAAAAAAGCTGCTTCCATGGAGACGGCGGGGCAGGGGCCTCAGCGGCTCCCTCTGTGTAGGAAGCTGCTGTAGCTGTGATTGGGGGGGGAGTGGGGGGGTGGGGAATCTTACTCTGAAATTCTTTGCATCCTCCACCCTGTCCCTCCCTGGAACCACCACCCACCCCGTGCACACGTCCAAGAGCCCAGTGAGTTCATCCCTTCTGTTCAGAAGGAACAGGACCTAGGACAAATGTGGGCTTATTTTTTTGGGGGGGGTGGGGGTGGCGGGAGCTGGGAAAATACCTGAGCCTCAAAGCTGTGTAGAGGCAGGCAGGCCCCCTTAGGGGACGCAGTGTTCCTTCGTAAGGCAGGGCGGAGAGAGGGAGAGGGGCATGAGGAGGGGCAGGACGAGAGGGGTATGTTGGGGGGGTGGGGGAGGATGGTCCCTCCTCGCGGTGCTGTGAGCTCCGGGGTAGAAGCAGCAGCTGGTTACCTCCTTACAGAATCTGTCTGAGCTGCTGACCCGAAAGCCAGCAGGGTCCTTTGCGTAGAGTGGGGCCCTGCTCTGTCTGTCCCCCCACATTTAGCTAAGGCTTCCCGAAACCTGAGCCCCGTCCTGAGGGCTCTGAGGGAACCCGACACCCCTTTTCTAATAAAGCCCAAATCTGTGAGCACCCCCGAGGCTGCTGCGGTTCCTGTCCGCTTCCCACTGTCACAGGGCTCTGGCCCGAACTGGCCTCGGTCTGTGTTTCTGTTTCAGACACACACACACCCTGGGAGCAGGGAGCCACGCTGGCAGCTGGCGGAGGGGGACTTGGGCACAGCCTGGGGCCCCTCAGCCAGCGCCCGGCCTGGGCGGGAGCGGCCTCCGTGGTGCCTGTGCTCCCCTTGTGGGCACAGCCCTGCGTCCTGTCCCTTCGTCACCAGGTCACCAGGCCTGGAGCCGCTCCGCCCCCACAGGGAGGGGACAGCCCTGGCCCAGCTCTGCCGCAGCTCTGGGGCTGGCCCTGTCAAGGTATGCCCTCGGGGAGGGGCTTGGAGGCGTGGAGAGTAAAGAGCCACGCGCCAGGTGAAGGAAGGGGGCTCGCGCCTCCACGTCTTGCACCCCATCTTTCTGCCTCCTCCCAGCGGGAGGGCCAGCCACCTGCACCTGGGTGGCCTGTCCCTGTGGGGGTTGCCGTGGAGGGACCTCCAACGGGGAGATGGTCAGCAGGTTTATTAGGGATTGCTCGGGCCGGGGCTGTGTCTCCGGCACCGAGGCTTGTTGCCCACGGGCACCCGCTGACCTCTCTCCAGCTTCGTCTGCCGTGCCCTCCTCTGACTCCCCGCTTCTAGCCAAGTCCATGGCGGCCATGGCCTGGCCTTGCCCGGGGCATAAGGCTGGGCATAAGGCGGAGAGGGGGCACTGGGACACCTTGCTTTTAGGACCTAGTGTGACAGTGAAATCTCCTCCTTCCCTGTCTCTTCCCCCTCCCCCCTCCCCCCCACCTTCCTCCTGGGCCTCAAGGTGTCGCGGTGACGGTGATGGTGACGTTCACTGGCGCCTCCGCGGGCTCCTGCGCAGGATCCGAACCTGGGGCTGCGGGTGGCGTTCCAGTGCCTGAGGAGCAGAACGAACAGGCAGAGGGGTGCCTGGGGTGGGGGTGAGGGGGTGCCCCAGATGGTCCTTCAAGGACAAGAGGCATCGCGCCTCCCACGGGAGACCCAGGCCCGGCCCCCTTTGCTGGAGTCGCCTCCGGGATCAGACGCCGCATACCTGCCTGCAGCTCGGGGCCCTCGGCCGAGCCCCTGTGCCGGTGGCTCTGCTCCCTGAGGGCGAAGCGGGACAGTGAGGTCAGTGCCAGCCACGCGGTCCAGCCTTCCTTCCTTCCCCGCGAGAGAGGGAACCCCACACTCACATGGGAGCCAGCAGCGGCCCGAGGCCTGCAGACAAGGGGAGGGCGACCTGGTGAGCAGCAGCCCAGACAGCAGGAGAGCCCCCTCCCCCCAGAGGCCCTGCCGGGAGCCCGAGGGGTGCCCGCCCCTGTGCCTGATGCCGGGGTTGGCATCTCACACTGAGGAGATGTCACTCACAGAAGAACCCAGATTTCCTACCCCGGGCGGGGGGGGGGGGAGGAGGCGCGGCAGGGTGGTTCCTACAGCTCCCTGGGGTCATGGAGACCTGGCCGCCTTCTGGGGTCAAGCAACCACCCCCTTCAAGTCCCCCACTCACGGGGGAAGGTCTCCGGGTGCCGGGCAGCGTACTGGAACACCAGCAGAGAGGCCACCGTCGCCACCACCATGCCTGTGCCCGCGGCGCCCAGCACGGCTGGGTAGGCGCTGAAGGGTGGGTCGGCTGGAGGGAGAGCAGTGGGTGCACGGGGTAGGTCAGAGCCATGGCTGAACCTGGCAGCAGTGGCTTACAAGGTGCCAGTTCCCCCTGCCCCTCCACCTCCCCGTGGGTGATCGGGGGCGAGGCTGGACCCAGGGCGCCTGGGGGCCCCGTGCTCCTGAGCTGGACCCCCAGCCAAGCCCCGGGGTTGGCACAGCGGGCAGCGGGCCGGCCATCTCGGCAGCTGCGTGTCATGAGGAGTTCCCAGGCGGAGGAGAGAGCATGGGAAGCGGGGAGCCCACCGTGTGCCCCCCGAGATGAGACTGAGTAAGGGGGGGCCTCTCCTTACTCAGTCTCCCCTTCCCTGCTTCTGATTCAAGCTGAGCTACGGCTCCTACCCCTCGGCTCACACCCCGGAGGAGGGTGGGGAAGACAGCGGTGGGGGAGGACCCGAGGGAAGGCAGGGAGGGGACAGAGATGGGGCGAGAGGGACCCAGCGGGAGGGGAGCAGAGGGATGGAGCCGGGGTACCCCGTGAGGAGGGAGATGGGCAGGTCTCAGCTTTGGGGGGGCAAGGAGAGCCTCGCAGGGCGCTCGCCCAGCACCTGGAATCTTGCCCTCAGAGGGGTGTCCGGCCGTGCGGTGATTCAGAGCCAGGATGCGGAAGGCGTAGAGCACCCCGGGGTCCAGGCCCCCCAGCCGCCGAGCTCTGCTCTCCGGCTCGATGTCGCCCGCTGCCGTCTCCCAGGCCGCGGCTCCGGGGCCCGGGGCTTCCGCCCGGCGCTGCACCAGGAAGCCGGTCAGGTTCCCGGGGCCCGCCACCGCCCACTGCAGCTGCACCTCCCGGCGGCGCCTCCCGTAGGTCAGGCGGCTGATGGTGACGTTGGGGGGAGCTGGGTACCCTGGGGGCCAGGGGGGGACACATGCAGGCGTGTGCACCACCACCGCGCGTGTGTGTGTGTGTGTGTGTGTGTGTGTGTTCATGCGTGCCCATGTGCTCCAGTTTCATCGGAGCTGGAAAAGGCCTGGCCTGGGCGTGCAGACTTGCTCAGTCCTGTGTGTGACCCCCATTTCTAGGCCTGTCTTCTCCCCTAGGAACGAGGAAAGGGAGATGACTCAGCCGCGTGGAGCTGCCTGCTCGCGCTCTAGAGTTTGCCTGCCTCACGGCCAGTAGCCGTCAAGGGTCCTGTTTGTGAGGGGCTGTCTGCCTGCGGGAGCTAACTGCCCACAGGCCGAGGAGGAATTCCAGTGCCTTCCACCTCCCCGGACACACAAATGCACCCCCTACACACTCTCACACACATACACTCACACACTCACACACTAACACACACACTAACACACACACACACACACTCACACTCATACACACACACTCACTCACACACTCTCATACACACACACACACTCACACACACTCATACACACACTCACACACACACACTCACACACACACACACTCACACACACACACTCACACACACTCATACACACACTCACACACACACTCACACTCACACACACTCACACACACTCTCACACTCACACACACATACTAACACACTCACTCTCACACACACTCATACACACACAGTCACACACAGTCACACACACAGTCACACACAGTCACA